GAAAGACTAGCTGATTTTAAAACTTCCAGATATTCAGGGATCAAAGATGCCAAATCTTGAAAGGCCTCAGTAACATTTCTGATACAAGAATACTGTGTACTCTGGCACTGTAAGTGGAGCTGGCCTTACAGTTTCTACTATAACAGCAACTACTTTTCAGAAGTCCTAGGTTTAGCTACATTTCAGTTACACTAGCACTAAATTCAGAGGAACTATTTTAGTTTTATTGGTTTGTGATAAATATGCAGGCAGGAAAGTGTTACACAACTGAATGTGCAATGAGATCAGGTACCAAACACACACTTTCATGATTCTATCCTTGTTTGGAGAACTTTTTATTTTCAAGCATTTTTAATAGGTAATAGCATACAATTCTATCTAGATATATTTAGCCGAAGAGATGGTGTTCCCAAGTGCCAGGCAGAGAATGTCCTATTAGCAAAGCTCAAAAGGTAGAATAAGATATATTGGAATAAAACTAAGCGTATCAACAACTTTGTACTTGCACTGAGTGAAAATTTAGTCCAACCTTTACCCAGAGATGGTCACTGTTACTAAACTGCACTGTGTAGGAAACACCACCGCAAACCTGCAAAATCTAGTATGAACCACCCTTCTGATGGACTAACAGAGAAAACTGTGTCAAGCCATACCCCTTTTTGGTAACACCATCTGGAAAAAAAAAAAAAAAAACTTTGCTCTTGCTTTTGCTGCTCCCACCCAGTAAGAGACAACCACAGAAACATCTGGGGCAACAAAATGACCAATCCCATTGCATGCATACATCTGCATACACGTGAATCCTTTATTGTTTGCTTTTCAAAAATTAAATGGAAGAGCAAGACAAATTCCAAATATTTTAATTTGATGAATACCCAGTTATGAGCTATCATTCTTTGGATATGTTCTAATGTGCCAACACTGCCTGCATATCAGTGCTCATTCAAATTTGTCTTTTTCTGTATTTTAGCCAAAAATATGCCTTCTACCTTTCCCATGGGCATACATTAGCTTCACTGATTTGCTTCACTTTGGACTCCTTTTGGGCACATTTGTTTGTCATTTGTCTTGTCATCTTGCAACTTTCTGCGTGGTAGAAAGTTCCTCTGTGGTAAGTTAGGAAAAAACCCCAGAAATGAAGACAAAAATATCAAACAAGTAAAACAACAACAGACTCAACCTGACCTTTCTTTAGCAATAAAGAAATCTTTCTTACAAAAAGCGAAAGAAAAAAAAACTCAAAAGCTCTAACACTACTGCCTTAGTTCATAATACTGAAAGACATACTTAACATTCAAATTACGCTTATTCTTAATAACCCAGCTCTGTATACTTCCAATTATATTCTTGTTTCTTGGGACTATATTAACTATGTTACAAACATTACATATGCATGCACACTTTTTCAAAGGTACCTGGTAATACATCCTTATTAACACAGTCAACTCACATTTTTAATAATATTGATTTGAATTTAATATTGCTTTGTGCTAACAGTTTAACTGCAACTCTGTTAACACACATACACAAAGTATGAATTACTTTTCATTAAGTGACTGCACGACTCTCCCAGCAGAACACATAATGTAGCTGAAAATTGTTTTGCAGGTAAAGAACAGCAGCTTCTAATTTGAAATGTGCTTTTTTTCCCCATCCAGATAACCAGTTAAAAAAAATTATTTGCAGTGTAATTTTATGCAAGGCAGCTAAGTGAAATGCAAGGATAAATACAGACCCACTTCTGTTCGTCCGGAACAACAGGGACAGACTAAGAAATCTTCTAAGCTCAGTATTTAATTCTAAATATATATTCATAATTATTAAATTATTAAAATAATGATATATTTATGCATATCTATTAACCTAAATCATTCTGCAGCTTTGAGCATATCTACTAGACAACAATACACACTACTGTCAGCCATTTATGACTTCACACCATCCCCAAAGGCTTTGTTTAAGGTTGTTGCAAACAGATTATTATTTGCATTACTAACAGGACACCATTATCAAGAGTACTGTACTCAAGAATAAAGAGTGGGATTCCTATTTTGAACCACTTTAAAATTTCAATTCTGAGAACAAGCTACAAACAGAAAGAACTACTTTCTGGTCTTTCACTGTTTTATTAACAACAAAGAGCAAAATCAAATGTCTTCTGCTTTTGCTTGTAATATGGGAGTACCCTACAGAAATACTGTAACATGAAGGAGGAATTGATTTGAGAGGCTGAAACTGCCTTTGATAAAACAGAAATATGCAATTTTTCTTATTAATACTGTCATTCACTTCTGCTTTTGGTAGTGCCCTGACATCACAGGCCTTTAACGTGGCATTTTAAAAAGCTGTATCTTTATTTCCTACTAAAGTCATTTTTAGTTTGTTGACTTCAAATAAAATAGACTAATTTAATAACCAGTTTTTCCAAACTATTATTTTATTTTCCTAATAAAATAGAACTGTACTAAATTTCTCTATATCCTTAGTATTTTATAAGTCTTCCTCTTCTCGAAGTAACAAGGAGTCTCCTTATATGGCCTCACGGTGTTGCCCAAGAGAGTAGATACGAAGTGCTTCTCTTCCACCCATTACCTTCTCTCCGAAAGGTGAACAATATTGAAAAAAGGTTTGAACCTTGCATCTAGTATGTGTTTACTTAGATAATGGTTATCATCTTGACTTTAATGAGACCCTAAAGTAGTTTTTTAACGAATTTCTAATTAAATTAGGAATATAAACACTTTTATATTAATTATATTAACCTTTCACAGCTTTTTGCTGATCATATACTCTGGCATTATACTCTCTCTCACCTATATTCAAAAGTACTGTCAAAGTAAACACTTCTATAGATAAACCTTAACAATAAATAATATTTTGATGGGAACATGAATCGTGCTGCTATAGCATAGGAATTGTAAAAAGAAGAATTAAGGTAGAAAAGAACAAAGATAACGTCTAGCAGCAGTCTGTTTCAAGAAATACTCCTTTCAAAAGATCTAATGAAAAACAACATAACAGAGACACATACAGAGATAATGGTTCCAAGCTAATTCTGAACTCTGAAGACCGCGTACCTGTGGTCTGAGTGGAACTGCCAACTGAGAACTAAACCAAAACACTGGCAAAAATATTAGGAGGTCCTTATTCTCCTTTATTTGCAGTCCTAGACTGTAGTCAAAGAGGAAGGCAAGTTATAATGGAATCAGTTTTCAAAGAGATGGTACAAAATGCAGGGAAAAAGCCATTTAACTTTTAGGTTGAATGAAAATCCATGTTAGTATCCCAATATTACATCCAAATCATACTGACAGCTTTTCAATTTATAAATGCATACTACAAGCTTAAAAGGTATTCCTGAATTATGTACATTTAAGTGATAAGATGAAGATTTCAATCACATTCTACATTTACTCAGCTAATCAGGGTAATATTCCCATTGAGGTGTGGCTTATACATAGAAATGACTGTTAAAGTGAAATCCAAAAAGAAAAATCATATGTTGACCCAAAACATACAAAAAAATAATTGTTAACCCTTAGTATTAAATTGAGATTTGGGATTGAAAGTCTTTTATAGAAAAAAACTGTAGACATCAAGTTATAAAACTAAATCAGAAGCCATCACACTGAGTCCTGCATTAGCAGATTTCTGTTGCTCAAGTGCACGCTCAGTACTTTTGTGCATTCAGCTTCATATATTAATCATGCTTATGGCACACCAACTCTGCATATACAATAGGAAATAGGGTTTTGATATATTTCATTTTAAAAAATAATTTATATGTCTATTTAATGAGAGAGCAGCAAATCAATGTTTGTATTTATTCAATAAAGGTAAAAGTCTCTTAATGAGTTAAATTAGTTAATTTAAATGAGCTAATACTTACCTACATCAAATTATTCAGTTCATTTCAATCAATGTTTGATTATGAAGCCATATAAGCAAGTGAAATACCTGAAGTGGCAATCAATTACAGGTCTATTAATTGCAGTATTAATTTGTCACCAAAGCACGTACTATTCCTGTTGCAAGTAAACCAAAACTTTACCACAGCTTATTTGTTCCAAGTGTTCCAATTCCTGTAACATGTATACATAAAAAACATGTAAAATGTCACAATATACAATAGAGGTCTAACTATCACTAACGGATTTTGGATTTTTAGCACTGTTTTGTATTCTAAAATCAAGTATGCCGAAGTTATTGGTTTTCTTGCTCTTAGCAAATAAAATCATTTTTCTAAATTAATCTCCACGTCCCATTAAGGGACAGGCTCCCTGTATCATTCTTTCCTCTGAGAGGATACCTGTACTTGAGGAGAAATCTACTTGACAAATTGAAGCATGATAAATAATTCTGCTCAGGCTACCGTCCACTTTAGGTTAAGGAAGGACTACTAAATGCTTCTCTAACATAACAGCGCTCAGGTCTCTCTGAATTATTTCCTATATCACACACAAAAAATTAATGTCATTCAATACAGGACAGATACAACCTATTCAAGCTGAATGCAGAAAATAAAGAATTCATCGATTTCATATGTTACCTGTACAACAAGATGACATATACATCTTCAGTAATAAATGTGATCTACCACTTAAGTGGAAATGCATTTCCAAAAACGGGAACATTTTACAGTCTTTTCTTTGTTTCTAATATTTTGGTAGCGCATACAGTATTACAATACTACACTAGCACATACACACACTGCAGAAGTATACAACTCAGTCCAGTTTACTACAGTTAGGAAGTCATCACCAACCAATAACATAATGGGAAGCTACAATCTATAGCTAGCCTTTGAAAGTCTTACTAAAAACAACAGTTTGCAACACTTTAAAATGGCAAGATACCTAAGTCAAAAGCTAGAAACTCAATTGACACAGGTCTATATAAAAATAAAACGACTAGGAGTTACTTGCACAGAATCTTTTGGTCACTACAGGTCATCGATTTAAAGTCTTCTTAACATAATTAAAGCAACATTGCGCACTCACCACAAGTGAAAGGGGCCTCTTCCACGAAACAACACCAATCAATCCTGACAACAGCACCTGTAATAAACAAATTGGAGTCACCAAAGAGACATGGGTTTTATACCAGTGCCATTTAAAAATAAAAATAAGAAAAACATGTTAAGATGAAGGACGATGCACAGTCATGCTGCAAGTTTCCAGAGCGCTGGAAACAAACGGCTAGAAGAGATGCTGTTTTCATTTTATTCTCAATATGAATTAAACACAGAAGTACTGTTGATCTGTTTTTAAAGCAAATTTCAGTCCAGTTGCCAGAGCTAACTGCGAGACCCAGTTCTGATCAGTTCAGAATAGGCCTTCAAACACATTCTCCCCAAGTCCCAAATATTATCAGTGCTAATGGAGAAAAATCTTTCAGGGTAAATTTTCTTGTGGTCTCTTAGCAACAGCAAAAATTAGCACTGAGAAACACACAAAAAGGGGAATCAAGATGGGACAATCACTAATTTCATCAGCACACAATCGTTCCTCAGGAATAGTGCAGCAATTCACTCACAAACAGCACCTGAATTAACATTGTTTACGTGACACTGCTACAAAACGTTATGCAATTTCTCACAAAGACTTTTGTTTTCATGCAAGAACTATGCCCTAGAAAATGTTGTCTGAATCATTCAAGTGATTGATAGCTCTCAGGCAGCGGCCACACAAGCAGAAGGACTGGCTGTCTCACCATTACTTCTAATATCAGTAAAGGAACCCCCACCCCTCCTGTAGCGCACAGTCTAGTTCAGGAGGGTGTGCATAATTTAAAATCAAACTGAAAAATATCTATGATGCAAATATTTTAAAACTTTATCCCAGCAAAACTAAATATGGAAAAAAAAAATTTTGCTGATAAGAACTACAGTATTTGACCTTATTGAGGAGGGGGGTGTATATTTATGAATGTATGTAAAACTTATGTTACATACTCATACACGAACCCCAAAGTTTTGAGTTCCAAGCTTCTACTGAAAAACTACTGTAACAAATGACAGCACAGTTTCTTAGATTTTCAGAACTTGCTTGTTCCATATTAACTTTCTTCAGTTTCTAACTAAAAACATGGCCTTCCACTCCAAGTCAAAAGCAAGCTGAATTCAGACCTTGATACATCCAAACTAATTTTAGGTACTTAAATGTAATATGTAAACTAGAGGTAAGACATCTTAAGCCTTATAAATAGTTAAACGCAGAGACAGGGATACGATGGGTGATATCAACCTTAGGGTAAGAAGAAAAGAGAGGAGAAAAACTTTCAGTAGAACATGTAATCAAAAAATTAATAAATCAAAATACAAATAAAATGCAGAGAAAACAACGCATGACAAATACATTTATTACATGATTCTGCAGGGTCTTTTTTTCACATCAGTTTGTATCAAGAACTTTTTGACTAATAGTAACTTTTACACTTAGCTAGCCTCATATATTTGTTAGGAGATGTTCCTGCAATTGCTTAGAATAAGCTCTGACGCTGCTTTTCTACTGCTTTCTACAGACAGTTGAAATTGATGAGAAGGAAGCCCGGAAGCTAATGAATTCCCTTTCCCATAAAGTTTGGTTGAAATGTAAGTGTTAGAAAGTCACCATTCCCATTCTGTGTCACGCCTTACTAGCAATCTTTTGGGCATAACAATAGCAGAGCACGATAATTTAAAATGCACCTATATCTCGCCATTGCAGAAGCAACGTACGCTGTGCTGGGAACCAGGCTGGAAACAGCCCATCTAACACTACAATAGTCGTAGTCTGGAGAAGGGCCAGAAATTTCTCTTCAATTAATCTCCTGCACCACAACATACAAAACAACATGACTGTCCCTCACATTGAATAGCGCAGAACAATTTATCAGGTTAATCCAGGCAGAAACTTTCATAACACAGGCAAAAAGACAACTATAACGTTATAAAGGACAATCAAAAACTGACATGTACTAACTCCAGTAATTTAATGAAGCATTGCGACCAGCCAAAAAACACTTATAAGGAGGACCGGCAGGGGCGATGCGCCCAGGAAGCTCGGGGAAGAATGTCAGGATTGACTTGACCACAGCTATTGCAAAGAAAGCTGAATTTATCTCAACACAAAGGGGAACAACGGGAGGCCTTTGTTTGAGGCTACATCAGCTGAGCAGATCAGGTGGTTGCCTAAATGTTTTTCGCTGAGTTAATCCAGAGAGTGTGACTGTGTCCCTGAGTTAGCCAGACCGGCAGGGGGTGAGGGGTGTATGCACAGCTCAGCCCAGCACAGAGGGTAAAACTGAACAACTAACAGGAAGAACTTTGATGAGAGCAACAGGCTTGAGCTGGTTCCAAACCATGTATTTTTTCCCAGAGACTGGGTACACCCAGTGTTGTGATGGTGAGCGTATCATAGAGACCGGTAACGGGAATCATGTTTGCATTGTGACTCTACTGGATACTGCAATTGCTATGTTCTGCTAAACTTGCATTGTGTGCGGTTTCAGTATATTGCTGCATCACTCTGCTAAATCAAAATCCCGTGTAACGCCAAATATTTTCACATAAGTAAATCTGATCATAAACACTACACCCTCCACATGTGGAATATCTAAGAGGACCTGGCCAGAGGCAATGGAAGCAGGAGCTGTCGATAGGTGGAGAAGCTGGAGGGCGGAGTGCCAATTGTAAGGCTCCACTAAGTTCAGTGTGGGGACGTTCAAGCCATCAAACGATGTATTTCACAGCTTAACAACACCCACAACTGCTGCCATTGTTGGAAACAACATTCAGGAAGACAGCATATTAGAAATGCATCTTTTGATAATTTCTTTAGCAGTCATGCCATTTAAAAATTTCAGATGAAGTTTCACAGTTAAACCTCAAGGGTAGTATTTAAGCCAAGTACAAATGCAATAGATGGAAAGCCATGAAAGCACACTCAAGAGTGAACTAAATCAGGACGTGGATACCAAAGGACAATGCAGATAATCCCTACAAACAAATGTGCATGGTCTTATACTATAGAAAACACTGTAGAATACAAAGTCATATACCAGCTACATACCTCTGGATGTTGGCCAAGGCTGAGAAATGCAGAGAATTCTTTTTCTGCAGTTAATTAAATTTGCTCACACAGCTGGGATAGCCTATTATTACTGTATGATAACTGTCTCTAGGTTGATAATCCTGTAATGTGGAACTGTACTTGTGAAGGTAAGTAAAATGACAGAGTTATAGCTGGCTTGACTTTAGGCTAGACCGCAACATGCTCTGAATTAAATAAATGGACTGGCTGAAATTGTGAGGTTATCAGGAGGAAAAAAAAATCCCTTTAAGAAAAATAAGAAATTACCCTCCAAAACAAGGTATGTGTTGATATGTAAAATACTCACTCATAAACCAGGATTTCTCAGTCACCAAACCAAGTGTTCAGACTCAAAGTGTTCTAGCGAACTACCTATGAGTAGCAAATCTTTACTTTTATTTACTGTATAGCCTCCCTTCTGCAAGTCAAACGTCTCCTCCTCCCTGACATATTTGTGGCATTGTCCCTCCCTGAAGAAGCAAGAAGGGAGCTGATCCTTTGTTCAGCTGAACTGCAACTGTTTGACCTTAACAGAGGCCTTGCAGGATGAAGGATGTACATGTTTTGTTTTGTTTTTTTTAAAAAGAAAGAAAGAAAAAAAATAAAGAAAAGACAGGGTGGGGGAGGGAGGGAGAGAGAGAGATTGATTGATTGATTCCTGACACTCACCCTACTGGCTCCCCACCTAAAAGGTCACACGCTGTCTAGCCGGCTGACAAACTCTCAGTGTGCTCTGATGATACCCACTAAAACTCTTTAATATTGTCATTATAGCACTCAGTACACAAAGCTGTAATGCAGTTTTCCAAACCCCATTATTTCTGATTCCACTGTAGTTACCAAAGAGCTTCTTTGGCCTTGAGATGTGGTAACCTCCTGTGGCAAGAGCCTTCAACACTGTAAGCCACAATAAACATAACTATCTAACTAGGAAAAACATGCAGAAGATCAAAAACTAAAAACAAAAAAACTTTTGTTTGCTCTTTAGATTTTGCTTTATACAAATACAATGCCAATTTTAGATAAGGTCAATGAAAACACACTTTTATATACAAAAATATGAATTATCTGAAAAGAAGTATATAACTTTTGGTCCCAAGAGACCATACAATGATTGCTCATAATATCCAATACTTAAATCAGTGGAAACAGTACACGAAAGATTCATTTGGTTTCACCAAATTAAGGATCATGAAGCACAGGCACAAAGGAAGTGAGTTATTTTTTACATAATTAATTAAAATATCAGCATTTCCAAACCACTATAGCTGAGCCTTGTGACACATGTCTCAATGTTTTTCGAAAATCATTACATCAAATGTATGTTTTGTAGAGGATTTTTCTTTCTTTAAGATTAAAAAAAAAAGTGAACTGGAGTTTGACAGTTTTAATAACTTCTCTATTATACTCTGGCAATGTAATTTGTCTTCAGAGCCTGTAACGCATTTACCTAAAACCGTGGACCTAACTTCAGCCTGCAGAATTGCAATGGAAGTGCCCCAGCACATTCAAGATACTCAAAGTAAATCAAAGCTACTAATTCGGTGTTCAATAAACTCAGATTTGCCAGCTTCCTTAAGCAGAATTCCTACAGCTGTATGTTCCTGCCGACTGCAACAACAGTGGTAATTCACAGAGAGAAAAGTAAACAGAATACATCAGTGCTGACTTTTGCTGTATTAGAAATGCAATAACATTAGGTATGAATGCCCTTCAACATGCATATGAAATCTCCATCATCATTAATGAGAGCTGTGCTCATGCATGGAGAAGACTCATTTACCTTGACACATACACGCTCAGGCAAGATGAAAATGGAAGAGAAAATTACTTTCCAGTACAGGGCCTGCAAGCAAGGGATTTTTTAAAAGCTCTTGACAGTGACTTTTTTAGAATTCTCAGCCCTCTGCATCCCATCAAGTTGCTAGAAATTCACATAACTCTGAGTTAAGAGTATGGGACAGATCAGATGATGCAGTCTCTTG